CTATAGTATTATTGGGAAAAAAGTGTATATATATATATATATATATATATATTATTATTATTATTATTATTATTATTGTTATTACTTAAAATATGCATTAATATTATAGGTTACATTAATTTACGCAATTACAATTACAGTAATTGCTTAAAAAATCGTAACTGATATGACATAAATTAATTTTAGATCAATTAAAAAGGAAATAATAAATAAATAGTAAATTATTTTTTATTACAAAAACTTGAATATTGAATTATTAAAATAAAAACATGTCAAAGTACTTTTAATAATAATAGTTGATTTAATTATTTCGTAAATATATTTACGAAATATATTTGTACCAATTTGTGGATTTATGTACGTATATATAAATATATTATATACATATTTAAGTATGCGAAAATTATATTATAATGCAAAATTTTATTATTAAAAATACTATATATATTAAAATAATTATATCTGGACAAAAAAAAATATTTTAAATAATATTTAAATAAAATATAATTTATCTCAGAAATAATATATTTTCGTCAAATATTAAAAATAACTTTACTATAAAAAAAGAAAACACAAAAATGTAGAATGTAAATATTATAAACTATTAATCATAATCAAATTATTAATATGAATGTAAATATTTATTAACTCAAAATAATTCAATATAAAAAGGGTTAGTTATATTTTTTTCTTATTTTTTTTCATGTTTGTAGAATTTAATTCAAAAATATTTACTTAATAATTATAAAAATATAATAAAAAACAACAACTGTGGTTATTTATGATAATCTGTTTGATATGCTACAGAACATTATAAAATATGCTTTGTTGGTATAATTTATATATAAATCTTTTGATACATTCCAACTTTTATCTTTAAATGAAATTAAAGATAATTAAAAAAATTGAAAAAAATATGTTTTTTAACAATATACTATTGAAAAACACTGGCATTCCTGTGTTAGAAATGAATTTAATTATCAATGATTATTGTTTTTAAAATTTAATAGAACTATTATAGAAATATATTAAGAAATATTTTTATGAAATATTATTATCATTAAAAATAACATTTTTTCGTCATTAAATCTCTTATATTAACAAGAGGATTTCAAAATTATATTATCAAAATACTTCAAAGAAAACGCAAGAATAATCATGTTGCAAAATATTGTTTACATATTTAACCAAAATGTATTATTGAAGTTCTAAAACATATATTTCTTTAGTATTCCTAAACACAGAAATACTCATAGATATTTTTATCTTTATCAAATATATTAAAATATTAATGATATATTTTTTCAAGAAACATGTCAAAAAAAAAAAATAGAACATACAGCATTAAATTTCTTCTTCATGTACCGATGTACTTATTACATTATTTTCATTTATTTGATTCTTAATCACAAGTGTTTCATCTGTCTTTTTAGGTGTTCCTGACATTTTAATGTACATTTTGTTTGTTTCTTCTTTTTCTGAATCCAGCTTTTTATCAATATCTTCTTCTGATGATTTTTGCACATTGTTATTACTATTTAATATTTCTGACGAATTATTTTCCGAGGTTTTTCCTCGTCCTCTTTTTGTAGTAGCTATTGAAGATATAAATTCTTTATTTGTTTTCTTTTGTATTTCTTTAATTGTTTTTGTTACATCAGTATCATCTTCATTAGAACCAGCATCAGTATTACGATTAGCAGTTTTACCACGCATTTTAATAATTTTCTTTGGTAATGTTTCTTTTTTCTTTACATTTCTTCCCTTTTTAGTTTGAATTGATTCTGTTTCTTCTGATTGATTATTTTGAATTTCTTGATTTTCATTATCACTAGTTTGTATTAATTCTGAAGATGATTCTTCTATTGTTTTTGATTCCCCATCATCTTTTGAGATATTTTCAGCATTAATTTCATTTTTACGGCCTCTTTTTTTTCTTGTTACTGTTATTTTTGTGGATTTATCATCAACTGATTTTTTATTTGTCTTTATAGATACTATAGACTCTTCAGTTTTATCATTATTTTCAGTCTCATTATTAATAGCAGCTTTATTTCTATTAGTACCTTTATTGGTACCTTTACCTTTTATTTCAGCATCTATATTAGTTTGTTTCTTTATTATTTTTGCTTTAGGATTACTATCCTTTGATACTATTTCAATATTTGCTGACTTTTTTTTAACAGTTGGTGCTTCTAAATTTTCAATATTCTCATTGACAGCTTCTTTTTTTGCTTTTCCCTTTGATTTTCCTCTAGCTAAAATAAAAATATAATTATTATATATATAAATAAATAAATATAGATTATATACATTATTATATTAACATATATTAATATATTATATTATAATTCCTCATTTATAAAGAAACTTTTATAAAAATTTTTATTTATTATATATATTCTAAATAATTTAATGTAAAATAAAAATTGTATGTAATGTAAAATTTATATATTTAAAAATAAAAAATTTTTTTATATAATTGTACATATTTAAAGAATTTGTCCAAAATTTATTATTGTATAATCATCATGTTACATTAAAAATCAAATAAGTAGCAAAATATTGATAAAGAAAGCGTTTATGTTTTCGTAAATTATTATTTGTTAAATACAAACAATAATATTAAAACTCATAAAGAAATTTTAAATACGTACATTCTTCATCCACATCCATTCCCGCCTTTTTTATCGTAGCTTTGGTACGTGTCTTTTTTATTTCAATTTCTTCAGTATTTTTCGCAATATCTATATTCGCAGGACTTGCATTAAGTTTTTCTTCTATTTCTTTATTCTTCTTTACTATAGACTTGACTTTAGAGTTCGTTTTTGCGGATGCCGAAGCATTTTTAGCAATCGATGATGTCTTAGTTTTTGTTTTTGTGTTTTTAGTTGTGGTTGAACTCGTATCTGTGGTTTCTATTTGCTCGATTTTTGTAGATTTCGCAGCTCTTGGCAGTCTAATTTGCCTCTCTTCATCATTTTTATTCACACTTTTTGCAACGGCTTTTCTTCTTTTCGGAGGCGACACATCGCCGGCTTCCGCTGCTCTGTCTACAACTTCTGTATCTGAATGTTTTGCAGCTTTACGGGGTGCCATATCATTCCACGATTTCAAGAATTATCTAAAAACAAATTTTATACAGCTTTAATATATTTTAAACATACAATGAGTTTTAAAGACGATAAATGATTCATTACATCAACCGATTACTTACCGGTGTACAACGTGCATTAACGTGTCCGTTGCATTAACTGGTGTTCGCAAGTTACATGACTAACATAGTAGCAGATCGGCAGCTTCAAGTTTGGAATAGATTTGATAATCGACAATCGATTTTTGGATTGACAAATGGCGTCAGAATATCAACGAATCAAATTTTCAACAACTGAAATTTCTAAATATATGCAATTATATCTTATAAAACTTTATAATTAAGTAAATAAATTATTTTATAAAATTTTTTTATATCACTTAAGAATCGAGCCTAAGGACTTATAGTTTTACATCCTTTTAATTAATTCAAAATTCTAGTAATTATAGTGTAACATATTTTATTTTAATATAAAATTAAATAATTTTAATTTTTTATCAATGTCTTTTATATAATTAAATATTGTATATTTAAATATTTTGCAGAATATTTATATAATTAATTAATACTTCAAGTCAGAAACATTCGCTATGTTATGAAAGGTATAGAATATTCGTATTTTTTAATTTATTTTATTTAATTCTAAATAAATTTTCTTTTAAAATTTATATTGACAGTATTATAATTTAATATTATAAATTAAAATTTATTTTAAAAATATTTTCTATATATAACATTATATTATAATATAATTTTAAATAATATATCAAAGAATGAAATTTTATACATTATTTTTAATTTTATTAAATTTATTTATTAAATTTTTATTAAATTTATTTATTAATTGTATTTTTTATAGTTAAAATATTTAATCATTATAAAAAAAATAATAAAAATTAATATAGAAATATAATAGAAATAGAATAGAAATTAATATAGAAATATGTATACTAGTATATTATACGAATTAATTTTTTAAAAATATTATGTTACCAAAATTATATTGTATTTTAAATAAAAACTTCAATAAGTTAAATCATTAAAAACTATGATTTTATTGTTACTATTATTTATAATTTTTATTTAAATATTTATATATTTTGATTTTATTATCAAAAACAAGAAAAATATTAAAAAATACTTACTATACTATATTAATTAATATTAAAAATATTAAAAAGCATGATATAATGATATAATCAACAGAGATTATATTATAAAGTTACATATAATAATATTCAAAATAGTATTTTTAGAAAATACAAAATTTAATGACAAAATTTAATATTTTGAATACATAAAATTTAAATTTATTTTTTTTTATATTTGTAAAAAAAGAATATTAATATAAATATTGTATCTATCTAGTTTTTTCTTTTTTTATATAACCAGAAGAATTTTTTTTTTTAATATTCTTTTGTTTTCATTTTTTCAATTAAATTCTATTTGTAATCATTATAAAAATATATTTATAATATTCATTTAAATAATATGAATGATATTTATTTAAATATTTAATTAATTCTTATAATATAATGTGAATTTTGATTTTTTTTTATTCGAAAAATAGTATGGTTAAAATAAATTAATGATTTGATATATCGGTATGAGATCTCATTCATGTTGTTTTTCTCATAAATAAAATGTTAAATATATATTATTAAATTATAGTTCTAAAAAGTACATTATTATAAATTTATATATATATATATATGTATATGTGTGTATATTATAATTATATATTTCGATATTAAAATTTATATTTCAAATACAATAGTAAATGTTAATCTATTATAACCTATAATTTATGTTTCACTCAATGTTGTACTCAAATATAAAATATAAATTATAAAAATTATGTGAAATTATCGAAGTTTTTAAAATTATTTTATATTATTTTCTAAGTGAAATTGAATTACATTAATAATATTTTAACAGATTTATTCAATGATGAATAATACAAAAAAAATCAATGTAAATTTTTCATCTCTTGTGGGTTTAAAAGCAGAACTTTTAAAAAAACAACATGAAGTAAATGAAGCAAAATTGAAATCAGAAACAATTTATAGTATTACAAAATTACAGAAGAAAAAATCTTCAAAAACTGAAGAGCAACATAAAAATGAAAATTTGAAAAAATTAGAGTATATTGAGGATATTGATACTCATAAAAAGTCAAAATTAATGTTAGCAGCAAAGGCAAGGTTGTATGACCAATTAAAAAAATCTAAAACTACTAATGAAAATTTTCTTGTTGATTTCACAAATAAATCAGATGAATCTGAAGATGAATTATTACAAAAAGATGAAGAAAATGATGCAACATTAGAAAATGAAGATGACTGGGTAGAATACGAAGATTGTTTTGGTCGCACAAGAAAATGTTTACGTGAAGATTTGTGTTTAATGCAAGAAAAAGATCAATTAATAAAACAACAAATAATAAATAAAAAAGGAATTGATCCAAAAACAAATAATATTATCGAACAAAATTATGCTCAAGAAGAAAAAGAACCTGAAATAGAAATTATGAGAAGAAAATGGGAAGAACAAACAAAAAAACTAACTGATAAAGTAAATATACATTATCAAGATATTTTATTTGATGAAGCTAGAACCCATGGTGTTGGTTATTATGCATTTTCACAAGATGAAGAAGAGAGAATCAAGCAACAGGAAAATTTATTCAATTTAAGGAAGGAAACAGAAAGAAAACAGAAAGAAATAAAAGAATTAAAAGAATTGAAAGAAAAAATGGAATATAATAGATTAAAAGCAGCTAAAATTAGACAGCGTATTAGAGCAGGATTACCAATAGATGTAGTAGAAGAAGAATTCAGAAAAAAAAATAATGAATCTAATCAAAATACATCAGATAATATATATGTTGCAGAAAAGAATTTGATTGAAGTCAAAGAAAAAGAAAGTAATGAAAATAAAAATATAGAAATAAATAAAGAATTAGAAAAAGAAAATAAAATAAAAGTTTTAGGAGAATTTCTAGGAAAAAGAAGTCATTGGTATGAAATGTCTCAAGAAGAATGGATTCATAAATGTAGAAAAATTAGAGTTAATGAATTTGGACCAGTATATGAAAATTTCAAAAGTGCTGGTTATTTAAACTCTGAAAATATTAATGTAGCATTAAGAATTAATAATGAGGAATTTCAATCATATGAAATGAATATTCAGAGTAATATAAAAACTAATAATAAAGTAAATATAGATACATATAATATACCACTTCCTCCTAATTTAATTATAAATGATCCTAATATTGAGAATAATAAAACAATAAATCAAAATAGTTTTACCCAACAAGTTCAGCTTAGACAACAAGAATCCAACAATATATTACAGAATCAGATGATACCAAATAGAAATATAGACGAAGCAAGTATAGCAGCTGGTCTTAAATATTTGAGAGAAAAATTTGAAAAAAGTCAAAACACTTGAGATATTTATAAAATACATTTATATAATAATATGTTTAAATATATATGTTTGTAATAATGTACATATAGACATTATCATATATCATTCTCTTTATACCAAAGAATATGCAATTTCTAATATGCAACTTATAGAAGTTCATATTTTAAATGTAAAATATGGAAAAATAATTATTAAGAGTAATATTTTTGAGATGCCAGTATTTATTTCAAAATGCAATTTAATTTTATAAACTATTTTATCATATAAATTGAAGTTAAATATAAAAAAACAATGTTCATCCTATATCCTTATAGAAAATTTATGAATTTGTGCTTCTGGTATAAAAGAGATGATAGATGATTAAAAAATTATAATAGAATTATTTACGATAATAAAATATATTTATAAAAAATGTTTTATAGTTTAACTATATTTAATTTTTTCTTCTTGAGAATTTTTTATTAGATAATTTTATTTTATCCATACTTTCTTCTGTTAGATCACAGTCATCTGATATACCTATAAATATTAATTTTATTTATAAAAAGTAAAGAATTCATTAATTTTATTAAAAAAATAACATTACCAGATAAATCAATATCTGAAATCACTGTGTTACAATTAGAACACTTTATGGAATTATAAATCATAATAAATTTCTTTAAACAATATAAATGAAAGGAAGTTTCACAATTATTACATTTTTTACCCTAATTAGTAAAAATAAATATTAGTAGGAAATCTTATATAATTATATATTTAATGACATAATTAATAACATACATGGAAAATGATTTGTTTGCAAAGATTACAAATATTTAAATTATTTTCATAAGTGGCTTTAAAATATGGCATTAATTCTGTTATACTTCTTACACCCATATAATAATAACCATCCTATAAATATTGTAAAATCATAATATCAATAAAACAGTATTAATTAATTATAGAATAATATATTGATATTTTATTTGTACCTTATAAGCCAACCATTTTCTATTAACTATATCATTAAGAAATTCTTCGGCTTTTGCTTTTGATATTTTTATATCTGGCAAAGAACATAAATTTAAACATATTGTACTTTGTATACATCCATTATTTGATGTTATAATTTCAGAAAATATATTTCTTAATAAAGCTAGTTGATCTTTTGAAAATTCAGATTGAAATCTAAAAAAATTTTAATAAATTATAATAAATATTTTCATAGATATTATTACTTAATAATTAGAAAAGTAAAATAAAAATATCAATTTATTTATTTATAAATTTATTCATTATAAATTCTAGATAAATTCCAAAAAAATATTTTTAACAAATTAAATAATTACAATTTTTTATGAAAATTTATAAAATATATAAAAACAAATATAATATTGATATTATTTTAACAACAAATATACCTGGTTATTTCATCAAATACAGTGCTTATTAAAATCCAATATATCTGGCCTGTAATTTCACACCATGCTTTTTTAATTAACATGTTTAAAGGTTGTAATTGCTCATTTATTTGATTTATTATTATTGATACTTTATCATCATCTGAAATATATAATTTCATTTATAATATGAAAGTTATTTTAAATAAATGTAAAAATAGATATATACGCAATTAAATTTTTACTTAAAATTAAATAAAAATTTACTTACTAAATAATTTAATAACGAATTCTTTTACTTTATTTTCATTTAAAAAACCTTCATTCATAAATATTTGTAAAATTATTTTGTGGTTATTGCTATAAACCATATTTTATTTATCTGATAAATATATGTAAATAAAATTATCAAAATGCGTTATTTTATTTTTTAAATTATTAATTGTTTATTATTGTTAAAATCGCAATATTTTTTAAGTAAATCAAAATTTTAATAAAATTTTAATAAATATTCTGATTAATTTAATATAAATTATTATTATTATTATTATATTGACACTACCATCTTCGATCATTTACCAGAATTTAATGTGTTTAAAAAATTACTATATGTAAGGATGATATCTATATATATATGTGTATATATATATATATATATATATATGCTAGGAACAAAAAATTTTGCATATATTTTTTGATGGTACTATTAAAGGATTTTTTTATTTTTACGATTTCATGGTATTGTTTTTTAATTCATAAAAAAACATATCTTTATTATTTTTTATGAATACAAAGTATAAATGTATATAAAGTATAAAGTATAAAGTATAAAAATAATAAGTATAATGAAATGAAAAAATAATTTTGAAACATATTTCTCAATGTTTCTTAAATTATATTAAAAAAGAAAATATTTTTTTTCTGAAAAAAATGCAATTATAAAATAAAAAGAATAAGTAAATAATTTTTTTAAATTGAGAATTACTGTTGCATTATACTGCATTTTTAATATTATCTTCGATGAATAAGTATAGGATTATGACTAAGTTAAAACGCGACAATATTAGAGAGTATTATGAGAATATTATGAAAGAAAAGCAATGAATGAAAGATGTGGAGTTAAGGGTTGAACGTGATTTATTTGAATATTAACATCTATTTATTAAAAACGACAAAGGAAATATCTCCATATGATAAATGGATTAAGAATTAAAGAATTAGTACGTACACATCAAAACTATCTGCTGCATAGTACAAATTGTATCGCGAGGGCGCGAGGCCGCGACCCTGAGCCTGATACATGGAATAGAACATTTCAGTAACAGAATAGTGCGCGAATACGTGTCAAACTCGGTCCACGGATAAGCGTAAAGTGGAACATCGTAGTGTAGCTATCTGCTATCGTTTTGTGCAGAAAGGTCGAGAGTTCATGATCATACACTGCTTTAAAACGATGATTTTACGAAGTGTTTGACGACGATCTCTTTTTCTTTATTATCACTGCCGACTGATCAGAAACTACAGACGTTGAAGTTTTTCTTTATATCTTTTTGTGTGAATATTTGATTAACAAACGCATAACCTGTTAAAATTATTATAAAAGATTTAGAGATTTGAAATTAAGTGTGTGGAAATTATACTATAATAATATAATCCGAAGATGCCACTCTTCGGTAAAAAAGATTCAAACAAGAAGATTAAAAAAGATGGAAAAGATGATAAATCGCCGTCTGTTGAGGACAAATACATCCTAAAGGAATTACTTGGAACGTATGTATATTATATATGTATATCGATACGGATTACATATCAAAAAATAATAGAATCATTTGCATGAGATTTTTATATTTATATTCTTTATATTATATTTAAATTAAATTTTAAGTAATCTTTTGATTAACATGATTAATTATAAATTTTATTAAATATTAATTTAATTAAACATTAGGTTTTATTAATAAACATTACATTTATCACTAAAATTTTAAAAAATTATAAAAATTATAAAAATTATAAAAAATTAATAAAACTATTTTTTTTTTTAATATTATCAAGATATTTATATACAAATTTTGAGCAGTTTATTTTTAATACTTATTTTTCATAAAAAATAGATTTATTTTGTGACATTTAATAATTATTAACATTTGATATAATTTAATTATTTTCATATGCATGTTTATATATAGGTCATATGCATATTTCTTATATAGGTAATTTTAAATTTTGTATATTTTATTTTACGTTTAAATTAGAGTTTAAATTATAAATATACAATAAAACAAGCAAGGCAATAGTGATTTATATTTGCTATATTTATAAAGAAAATTTAATTTTTAATTAACTTAATAATTTTTTTAATTAAATTAATTTGTGTTATTATATATTTTTTAATATTATTATAATATTATAAATAATATAATAAATATATAATATAATAAATATATTATATATTTTTAATATTTAGAAAAAAGAAAGTACTTTTAGTTATTTAAATTATATAAAATTCATTTTTATTTGCTCATAAATAATCTTTATAAATTTACATCACAGATTCATAGATTTAATCATAATATTACAAATTCACAATATTTAACATATGATATTATGACATATTCATTAAAAATCCTATTATTATATTAGAATTCTTTTATTATTATGATTTAATGATATGAACAAAGTTAATTATAATTAATTATAACTGAATAATAAATGTTATTATGTATATATTATTGTTATAATGTGCAATAATAAATAAAAATATAAATAATTGCATAAATCTTATTAATCTCATTATTGTTTATATTATGTGATACTTTAATTTATTTGTTCATATTTGTTTCTATAGAGGTGCTTTTTCTGAAGTACGTTTGGCAGAAAGTAAGGAAAAACCTGGACAAATGTTTGCTGTAAAAATCATTGATAAAAAAGCATTAAAAGGAAAAGAAGATTCTTTAGAAAATGAAATTAGAGTTTTACGAAGGTATATTTTTAATTTTCTTGAATAAATTTATTTAGTTTCTTTTCATTATTAATAATTTATATTATTTATAATTATATAATTATATAATAATTATATATTATTTATTTTATTTATAATTATATTTTTTTAGGTTAACACATCCTAATATTGTTCAGTTATTGGAAACATTTGAAGATAAACATAAAGTTTATTTAGTTATGGAATTGTAAGTAGTTAAATTAAATATAAATATTTATGAAATACTATTTTTCTAAATATTTATGAATTATTATTTATAAATATATATCTAATATTTTTTCTCTTACATTAGAGTTACTGGTGGAGAATTATTTGATAGAATTGTTGAAAAAGGTTCCTATACAGAGAAAGATGCCTCTGGTTTAATAAGACAAGTTTTAGAAGCTGTGGATTATATGCATGACCAAGGTGTAGTACATAGGGATCTTAAACCCGAGAATCTTTTATATTATAATCCAGATGAAGATAGTAAGATTATGATTAGTGATTTTGGTCTTTCAAAAATGGAAGATTCTGGTATTATGGCAACTGCTTGTGGTACCCCAGGATATGTTGGTATGATTTAATTTTATTAATTTCTACATATATAGAATAATATATAAGACATCTTTGGAGAGTGAATTCTATAAAAAGTACAATAATATACAAAAAATATTGAAAACTTATTTTATTAAGTTTCAAGTTATTAAATTATTAGCAATTTAACTATTTTATTTTATTTAATGCAAATTTAAATTACTTATAATTTAATAAATAAGTATATTAAATAAATTATTTAACTGATATTTTTTTTATATTTGTTTATTCTTATTTTGTTATATGTGTTTATTCTATTAAATCTATTTCTATTAGCAATTTAACTATTTTATTTTATTTAATGCAAATTTAAATTACTTATAATTTAATAAATAAGTATATTAAATAAATTATTTAACTGATATTTTTTTTATATTTGTGTTTATTCTAGTCTTTAAATTTCAAAAATGTTTCATAAATATATTAATATTCTATATAGATTTATTCATTATAGCATATTTGCAATATATTGAATCAATTGTTTTTCTTAAAAATAGTAAATTTTTAAAAAAAGTTTTTGACAGAAAAAGAAGTGCTTCTTACAGCAAATATGATAATATATACAATTTTTTTATTTGCAATGTTATTCAAGAAAGAAAAATAAATTTTTATTTTTTAAATGAAATATATAAAATTTCACATCAAGATAAATTTAAACATGTAATATATATATTATGATCTTCAAGGTTAGACAAAGTCAAAATTAATAAAAAAAAAACCGAATATTATATTTACTAATATTGTATTGATAAGGTCACTTCCATTGTCACATAAATAATATCTATTTTTAAGATAAGAATTTTCCTCATAATTGTAGATCTGTAAAAAGTGTTTTGGATGAAATATTCAATATATATTCAATATGTTTGGAATCTTTGAATATGAAATAAAATGATTTCCATGATTATCAAATTTATTATTATTAGATTTTTTTTGTGTATAATACATCTTTAAAAGATTTGTATTAGGTAATTTAATGTAATTCAAAATAAAAAAAGTATATTAATTCATAACCAGAACAACATTAGTAGAAAATATTGAGAGTAATTTATGGAACACAAAAATGCATTCTTATTAATAATTTCAAACACAATCAATATAGTATATTAGTAAATATAATATTAAGAAACATTTATTTATTTCATTTATTTCTTTTTTGATCTTCTGAATCTAATATGGAATATATTTGAATTCATTTTGCATAATTTTATAATATAAACAAATTTATATCATTTTATTTAAAAAATTGAAGTTTTTTATTTTTGTTTTTTGAATAACATTACAAATATATAAAACTCATTACATTATTACATTCACCATGAAAAATATTAAAATTTTTTTCTTTATTATTTTTTTTAAAAACATTATTTTCAAAAAAAACTATTTTAAAAATTTAATATATCACAAATATTTTATATATGATTTAATTTTTTTTACAAAATTTAAATATATATTTTTTTTATTTATAGCTCCAGAAGTCTTAGCACAAAAACCATATGGAAAAGCTGTGGATGTATGGAGTATAGGAGTCATTTCTTATATTTTATTATGCGGCTATCCGCCATTTTATGATGAAAACGATGCGAACCTGTTTGCACAAATTTTAAAAGGTAACAAAACTATTTTTAAAATCCAAATTTTTTTAGAATTTGAGAGGATTGTACTATGATTTCATTAGTACTATTTTTAAGCTTGACAAACACATGCAGCTATTCATTAACTTAAAATTTTCATTTTTAAGGTACTATTCTAGTTTTAGTATGCTGTTATATACATGCTAGTGTAGTAAGTAAATAATATTTCGTGTGTGTCCACAGCTTGTGGAAGTCATTAATTGTTTAATTTTCAAAAATTAAGATTAAAAATTTAATTCTATATTAGTATAATATCTGATAATAAAATAATATCTCTAAATAAAAAAATGAAAGTATAAAAATTTTATAGTCAATTATAAAAAACAAATTTATTTTATAAAATGAAATAAATAATATTTTTTCTAAATAAAGTAATTTATGCAAAAAGCAAGTAAATCATAATAAAATCATTTGTTCTATACCAAGAAGCTAACCAGACTGTTATAGGTGAATTTGAATTTGATTCACCGTACTGGGACGATATCAGTGACTCCGCAAAGGATTTTATTCACAAATTGATGTGCGTCAATGTCGAAGAACGTTATACTTGCAAACAAGCCCTTGCACATCCTTGGTAAGATCATTATTGTATTCAGATATCGTATATAACTTGTTTTATTAAAGTTATTATCTTTCCCATTAAAGTATTTGTAATATTTTGAACATGTTTAAATGTATTTTTAAATTTCAAATAGTTATATTTTTAAATTAAAATTAAGTAATGAAAATATTACAGGAAATAATTTGTATTATTAATAATAAAATAGGTATTGATTAAGTAAGTAAAAGAATTATATTAATCTCATTACACATTAATATGAATTTATTTTTTTATAAAATTAATTATTAAATTATATATGGATTGAATGTATGTAATAATAAAGTTCATTTTAAATTAAAAATAAAATTTTTTATAACTCTCATATTAAAATCTTTAATAATTTTTACATATAAATAAATATTTTAATATTATAAAAATGAATACAATACAAATAATTAATAAATATAACTAATAAAAAATAATAAAAAGGAATATATTTTATTTAATCATGTTTCGTATCTAATATAGTATCGTGAAATTGATATTTTTCAGGATATCCGGCAATGCAGCTAGCAATAAAAATATCCATGGTACTGTATCGGAACAACTTAAAAAAAATTTCGCCAAATCAAGGTGGAAGGTTAGTATGATTATATGATTATCAAGTTGCTGATTGTATGTGTTTGCTCGCCAGGCTCCGTAGGAAAGTCTTCCTCTTCTCTCATGGTTGCAGCAAGCCTATCACGCAGCCACGGTTATACGTCAAATGCAACGGTTGGCGCTCAACAGCGGTCAACAGCAACAGGGCCCAGGATCAACAGGCCCCTCCAGCGGCAATCTCATGCCATACCCCGATCAATCGCAATCCAACCCCAGTCATCAATCCAGATCAGTGGAGTCTCCAACCAATCACAATTGAAGGAAATACGCGAGTCACCCTTGTCAGTGTCAAGCTTGGTGGCCTCGAATCCTATTCCCATTCCAATCACTCCAAATTCACCATTATACTTACGCAACAAACGCTTCAAGCTGTGGGGTAGCACACGCACTGCTCTGTCTACTCTATTTCAAACGAATATATCGTATCTTAGAAAGCAAAGAAAGTATAAGAAAAGTTGAGTCATACTAAGTTTCTTCTAATGAGAAACTGTCGGACGACTAGTTATTTTCTTGCCGAATATTATTCTAATTCTGGTAAGAATTTGTATAGATTCCAGCTAACTTGCTTTATTGTGGTCTCCTGTGATATGGTTGCCACCGATTATATATATATTACAAAAGTACACATGAATGCTCATATACATAATTCCTTTCTCTCTCTCTCTTTCTCCTCCCCCTTCCTCCCTCCATCATACAGCCCGCGCGATATAAGGCGATTTTTTAAATTTTCTCGTTTTATCGCGCTTCTTAATTTTACAAGCTTTATTTCAAAATTCTAAATAGACCTATCTATGTTGATATGTATTCACAGTAAAATTAAATCCTATAGTTAATAGAGATTTTAAACAATGATGAAATATAAATATTGATCAAGCAAAAATATAGTTAATATCTTTAGATAAACTTAATGCTAATTGTGAAATTTTGTGACACAAGGAAAATTTTGCTCGATCAAATCTATTAAATATATATATAAAAGAAAAAAAAAAAAGAAGAAACAATGTGAACAGTACAACGACATGTTTTTATCTTTTATAAAATTTGATGTAATGAATAGTAGTTGTTTAGATGATTCTTTGCGATGTAAACATTTTACTATATTCTAGTTAAATATGTTTTAAATTTCACAAACCAATATGCAGTTTTTTGCCCGGTACTTTTTCGATAAATGGTACGATCGAATATAATATATATATTATTTAAAGTAGTTTTTCAAAAAACATAATACAAAAAAACAAACTAAATAAGCTTTTTATAAAATAGATTACAAGAAGAAAAAAATTCTTGCCATAAAATCATGTTGTGTAAGATCTGTGTAAGATCTGTGTAAAGTTTGATTTTATCGATATTTGTTTTTATGTTTTTTTATAATTAAAATTTATTTTATTTTACGATAAAGAAAATTATTTATATACAGTTATGTACAGTATGCTATATTGCAAAATATTATATATATATACATTATATACAGATATTCTGTTATGTATGTTTTATTACATAGTGATACTAGTAAAAATTTAAAAATTTCAGAACAGAAATGAATTAGGTTTAATATATGTATACATATATGTATATTACTCTGCTCATATTTTTATCAATATATTGCAGTGAAATTTAATGAGAAATGTATATAATTCATACACGATTCTTCAATCATCTCTTTGCAAGATGCAAATATAAAGAGCAAATATTATGTATAAATTATATATAAGATTGAATTTTTAATTTTTTATAATCTTTTTTAAGGGCAATTATATTTTTATATAATTCATATTTCGATTTAATTATATATTTTATCATTGTATTTCTATTTTATTAGAAATTAATATATTTTTTTATATAAAATAATATATAAAATGAAATTGATTTATCTTTGAACAAATAAAAAAAGCACAAATTTGAATATAATTGATTAAGAACTAATTATTTATATTCAAAAAATTATTTCGTTATTTGAATGTTATTAGTTAAAAACTAATGATTTTTTGCAAACGAATGTATATACTATTAATATACGTTATATTTCTTAATATAAGTATATAAATATTTTCGATATTTTATGTAATTTTATTAACAAATCAATATAAATATTTTCGTATTTAATATTTTCTTATAAAATATAGCGATTATATATTACACATTACAGTCGAATCTCTATTTGCGTTATTAATCTGTTTTTAAAAAATAGGCGAAATCGAATTAAATAAATATAGAATTAATTTTTTCAATAAAAATTGATTGAAAAAAAATAATCAGTTTTGAATCCAGGCAAATAAATAAAATTAAGCAAATTTAATTTTTATTGAAAAATAAATGACAAAAAATAAATCTTATAGTAAGAAATTTTTGATGAGTAATGGATTTTTGAACGAATACTTAAGCAAGCAAAAATATTTAAATATATTGAAACATTTTTTTGCTGAAAAAATGTAACGAATATTAGAATATTGTATATAAGATCTAAAAAAAAAAGATAATATATAATTAGCTATTTATATTTGTATCTTATAATCAAAAAGATTAACAAATCATATGTAGTACTCAATATTTGAATTATAACAGGTATTTTAAATTTTTTTAAATTTTGAAATTTTCAAAAATATTTTTAATATTATTTTATTTTTTTTAAATTACCATATATCATAATTTTAAGATAATGATGTTACTATAGTTTATTTCAATGATATATGAATATAAAAAAAAATAATAATTGATAATTTTTATTGAAATAAAAAATAAATTCCTTTCAATTGGAATGTGTCAAATAATAATTTTTCATAATAATGATTGATTTTAATTTATTTCAAAAATATTTTTAGGTTTCATTACTTTGATAAAAAATCCATTACATATTAATATGCGAAAAACTGTATTAATGATAATTCAGTATTTTCTCATGTTTTTTTGAAATAAATATAAATTATATTCACTGAATGTATAAAATTATGTATTACATAGAAAGAAAATTATTGCTATTTATCGAGCGGGCATTCCTTTTATCATAAATTACTCTTTCTCTTTAACTTTAAACAATAAATACGATAATCACTTTGAAATATCATATTAGATATCCGTCCGTGTACCGGGCACTATTTGTGTAGTTAATATTATATGAAAAAAAATTCGTGTTAATGCTACATAATAATTTTGAAATCGATAATAATTATATTAATTATAAGATATATATATTGTGCTAATAAAACAAAGAAAATATATATAAATTGATTTAGAATGACGCGTGCAATCGAATTTAAAATATATTCAATGATTATCATTTATTCTTCTCGAAATATTATAGTATATTAAAATTTCAATTAATAACAGGTTTTTCATTATAAAATAACGTACCATTCTAAAGTGCCTTGGATGACGCGATGATGGAATATCAAAAAAGAAAAATTAAAATATATTTCTGAAAAATTAGAACCATTTACTCTTTATTTAGTATCATATACTCTTTTAGGAAATTATTTTACTCAATTTATTTTTATTTAAAATAAAAATATTTAATAAAAAATAATAAAGTTTGCCAATAATAATTCTATAATTAAATCATGAAATTTTATTATAATCTTTATAACCAGCATCGCGTCATCTAATAAGAAAGGTTCGTTAATAAAAATTTTTTTACGCTAAATATTTATGCGTTATTGATGAGCTTGTAATTTAAAATCTTAGAAAGAAATTAAAAGAGCTTAGTTTGTATTTAAAACTAAAGAAAAAAAATGTTAAAATCGTGCCACATGAATAAACATATCGGCAGGAACATTATAAAATGTGATTATAAAAATAAGTTGATTTTAAATAGTGATGAAAAAACTTGTTATTGCAGTTTTATTCAATGAAAGAAAAAAACGCCAGACTGATAGAATGTATGAAATGCAAGAGAAAAAGAATGAAAGAAAAAAGAGAGCGAGGGAGGGAGAATGTTAAAATATTTTAATTGTTGCCTATAAATTAAGCGTAATTTACGCTTCTATATTTATTAATTGATTATAGGAATTACTTCTTCCTATTGTAACTTTTCTCATTGCACAAGCCTTGTAATTGTTATGCTTACATTTGTGGAAACGATTATTCAGATGTTTCATTGTTAAATTATATAATTAATACAAAAAATCAATGTTGTTAGAAAAATTAATGAAAAGAATTTATCAATCCTATACAGAAGATTTTAACATTCAGAATATATTAAATTAATTTACAGTGCCAATATATATTACACACATTATGCGTTAAAAGAATTATTGAGATTGCTAATTCTTCGAAAACATATAAAATATCTAATTTCTATAAATTAATACATATTACAATTAATATTTTCGAAAATAAAAAAAATTAAATTTTTATTAGATATTGTTTCACAAAACAGTTTTTTAAAAAACTGTTTTATAAATACGAAAAATATAAATATAAAAAAAATATTAATTTTTTAAATTTAATATATTAATTTTCTTAATTTCTTGATTATGGTGCTATACATGAAATATTCGATATTTTATGAAATATTGATGAATAAAAAATATATATATATATTTATAAAATTATACAAATATTAATATAAATATATATTTTTATTAGCTATCTTAACTTTTTCGATTATCACATTAATATAGTCATTTTTTTAAATGACACTAAGTTGCAAGATTATTAAAAATAAAACAAAAATCAGAAAATAAATTATTAACAAGTAATTACACTTTAATTTAATGCATATTTAATGATATTTTCATTTCGGACATGAAAACGAACATATAGTTGATATAAATGATAATAATAATAATGATAAACAAATTTACAAAATTGTGTCTCTGTGTACTTAAAATTAAGCTATCTTTTTTATACAAATTATTTTAAATGCATTAAAAATTATATATTTTAATTTATAATTTGTTAACTAATAAATGTTGTAACAATTTCAGTTTGCATATAATAAAGACAAAATAGAAATTTACAACATATAGTGGCTGCCTTTATAAAATATAAAATTATAGATCAATTCATGATTTATGTAATTATGATTTTTTTAAACCAATTTTAAAAATCAACTAATTTAGAGTAAGAATAGTTTAATAAATAAATACTTATTAAATAAGTTGCTAAAAAAAGTTTACATTACATAATATATAATTATTAATTTTTTTTCTTATTCTTTTAATTCATGACAATATATTCATGAAACTTTTACAATGTTTTAAATTATTTTACAATAATTACATGATTCATAGATACATATTAACAAATAATATTAATATTTATTAACTATTATTATGATATATAAAAAATTAAAAAATAATAAACTATAACTACAGAATACATTTACTATAAAATGTAATGTAAACTTTTGTACTAGATTATAATTCAATATAATCTAGTTTCTACTTATAGTTGATTTCAATAATGTTTAAAATTTGGCTTATCGGATTTGTTAATATCATATAGTAAAATATATAAATGACATATTAGATATATTGTATACACTTAATAACAAAATTATGGTTAAATTAACATTCGTAATTAAAATATGTGAATAAAAAGTTACAAAATATTTTTTCAAATTTTAAAAAATAGCAGCCACGAAAGATTAACGTTAATATTGATATACAATGCATATCAATATTGATATTGATATGCACATTATTATGCATCGTTAGTAATATCGCTTAGTAGATGCTAATTTTTTTTTTTTAAATAATAATATTTCATTGCTATTTTAATTTAGATTAATATCATTTTCTTTTGTTTGAATTATTTGAGTTATATTAAAGATGCCTAATATAATTGAAATAAGTGATGATAAAATATTATAAATAGAAAATATATTTGCATATTTTTATATATGTTATACTTTTGATAGTAATATCTGAAAATAAATTATTGGCCCCCTTCTAAGCAATTTATAAAATTAATGCTATCATTTAATTAAACAAAATATGTTTAAAATTTCATACAATTTATACATTTTGAATATTACATATTACCAAATGATATTATAAACGAAGCAATCTTAAGTTGTATCTCCATTGAAGTAATAATGAAGAATATTTTGTTGATATTTTATGTTTCTTGAAAAAATCGCTACTTATTACGAATATTTCTACAAATTTTTTCATATTTGCTGTTTTCAACAAATGTTTCTATTTGATAATAAAGATAAAAGAAAAATAGAAAATGATAACTTTTGGTAAGAGAAACAAATTCTTCTCTGGAGTATTTTCTAGTATATATGCTTTATCATAATGTATGATTCTGTTAATAAAAATGCAATTTTTTTTTTATAAAAATGTATATTAAAAAAGTATATCAATGAATAAGAATTTCCTATAGATAGAAATCGTTTTACAGATAATATTGTTGATCTATTTGTATTAATTTTTCATATAGGATCAATGAAGTATTTGAAAT